TCCAACGCGAGGCCGAGTCCCGCGTACAGCAGCTAGAAGGATGTGAACCTATGACATACAACTATCTACTGGGGCTTTGGGGGGAAAAAGCTGAATAAATAAAATCTTTAAAAAAAAAAAAAAAAAAAGAAGTTGATGATTTTTTTCCAAGAAAAAAAATAGCAAAGTACAAAGATTGTATGGGATATACAGAAGACACACAAGTTTTCTTCACTGTTTTGAGCTTTTTCTAAAAAGGGGGGAAATGGTAACTACTTCATAGGATTGTTCTGAGGATGAAATGAAAAAATCTATATATATCACTTAGCACTGTCTCTGACTCATCGTTAAGTGATTAGTGAGTTAGATATTTTTATCATTATGTTTCATTGCATCCAACTAACAGATACATTTTGTGTCATTAAGAAAAAAATTGCCCATTAAACTATTATTATATGATGATTTCTTATCACCAGAATTATTTTCTATTTATTGAAGAATCTTTAGACATAGGTTTTTTAAATCATTTCATTCTCAGGCCATATGTAAAAAGGTAAATGTAAACAAATCATTTAAGGTATTTCTAGAACTTTTTCATGTTCAGAGTCTAATTCTTCAGAATCACTTTTTGACTCAGAGACATTGATTTTTGTGTTTTTTCTCACAATGTTGTCTGTGATACCAAGTGTTTGAAATTAGAAATGCCACACTTCTAAAATGTGCCCCTCTGCCGAATCCCAGATTTTCTTTCAAACCACTGACAACCCCTCTGCTTGTGCTAGTTCCATCTTACCAGGAGGTGTCAACAACATTTTCAGACAAGAACTAAATTCATATTCTTTCCAGAATTCCTGCTCCTCAACCCTAACCTGCTTCTTCTGTGGTCTTCTTCACATTAGCTCCTGATGACTCCATTGTAACAGTTTCTCAGGACAAAGTCCCTGGAGTCGTTGTTGGCTTCCTCTGTCTGTCACACCACATCCAGCCTACCAAGATTCTGAACCCAGAACCTGGCTCCCTTCTGCCCCCCGTTGCTGCTGCTCCTCCAGCCTGTGGCATCAGCATCTCCCCTGGAATCACCTCCTACAGGTTTCTCTGCTTCTCTCTTGGCCCCATGACAATTCTCTTCTCAACAGAGTGTCCTGAGTTTGCAGAACTAAGTCAGATCCTGTCTCTCCTCAAAACCCAGCAGTAGCTCCTTGTTTCTCTCAGAGTAAAAGCCGAAGTGTTTGTAATGGCCCCAGGCCCTACGTAATTCATGCTCCAGGCTTCACCTCTCTTCCTCTCCTTCTCCCTGCTGGGGCATTTTGCTCCAGACTCACTGGCCTCCAGGCTCTTTCTCAACCTTGCCAGGCTTGCTCCTGTCTGAGGGTCTTTGCTCTAGCTCTTCCCTCTGCCTGGAAGCCTCCTTCTCCAGGATCTAGAGTTACCTCCCTCACCTCCTTCAAGTCTTTCCTCAAATCTTGTGTTCTGGCTGAAGCCTACCTTGGCCACCCTAATTAATACTGCAGCCTGAACTTCTCTCTGTGCCCCAGGCCACCCATCCCCCTCAACCACTCCACATTGTCTTTTTCCATAGCACTTATCAGTATAACATATGATAAAGTTTACCTATTTATTATAGTTTATTATGTGTCTTTCCTCACAAGGGCGGACATCTTTGATTTGTTCACGGATGATTTCCGAGTGCCTAGGACAGTGCCTTGCCGGCATTTGTTAGATACTTGTTGAGTTGTACTGAATTGTGATAGATCCTGTGACCTGGGTCAGCAGGAGGTGCCACGGGAGTGTATAGAAATGGCCCACACTGAGCAGGTTAAGAAGGACTTTGTGAAGGAGCTAATGCCTCAACTGAACTTTTAAGGATAAATAGTGATGCAGCCATCACAGGAACCATGGGAAGTAATGAGGTTACAGATACAAAATATGCCCTTGGGTATTGTTTCAGGTGGGTATTTAGATTGGACTCTACCTCTTGATTACAGTTCAGAGTATGGAACCCCACAGATAATATACTTTGCAAAAAACTGTTGACAAAGCTTATTTCTGTCTGGGTGTACCATGTTATCATAGTGAGCCCTGATAACATTTTACGGCCAAACTATGTGGTCTTGACCAGCCAAGGTGCCAGATCTTTGTTTTGATCAGCAGAGTAGTCAGTGATGACAGTGCTAGGATGCTGCTCGCCGACATAATACTTAAGGAAGTTTGCAGTGAATATCTTTAGGGAACATAGGGATTTTGCTCATTTGAAGTGTTCTTTAAGTGTAGACCTGGGAGTGTCCTCAGAGATAGAGCCTTAGCTATTTTGGTACCTGGGATAAGACACAAAGCCACTCTCAAATCAGCTCTGTAACTTGTGATGTTTGATTTATATGTTCTTAACACTATGTGCCATCTGGTGGCTTCGTGTTTAAATAGTTATTTTTGATAATCATATGTCAAGCTCCATTGTTTCCACCTGGTGGAGGTGTATGTGTGCTGTCAACATATAAATAGATATAACACATTTTAGAATTGTACACTCTTTAAAATGTTTGCTTGTGCCCTTCAAATTTCAGGAGGCAGATATCAAGTTCTTTCTGCCTTCCCAGTTTTGACTCTTTTCATAGAATCACCTAAACTCAGTCGTGGCTGGTGCACAGTAATCAATACGCATTATTTAAATGACTGAATCAAATAAATTTTGATTCAGAAGAAACATATCGTTTAAGCCTCAAGGTCTTGTGGAAACCAAATTTTATGTACTCTTTTATGTCTGTAAAACAGGGCTCATCATGTGCCTGTCTCAGTATTCATGAGGATTAATATGTGTGATAGGAGTTAATATGTGGAAATCTTTGACGTATTTCTTTTATTACTAGGCTTTGTTTTTTAAAATAGTTTTAAATTTACAGAAAAAGTTAGCAGATAGTACAGAGAATATACACCTATAAACCTCCCTCTCACCCTATCCCAGCCCAGTTTCCCCTCTTGTTAACATCTTACGTTAGTTTGGTGCATTTTGTTAAAATTAATGAACCAAAACTGATACATTATTGTTAACTAAAGTCTGTAGTTTATCAGATTTCCTTAGTTTTTACCTAATGTCCTTTTCTGTTCCAGGATCCCATCCAGGACACTATGTTACATTTAGTAGCCCTGTCTTCTTAGGCTCCCTTGGCTGTGACAGTTTCTTTTTTTGTGTGTGTGTGAGGAAGATCAGCCCTGAGCTAACATCCATGCTAATCCTCCTCTTTTTGCTGAGGAAGACCGGCTCTGAGCTAACATCTATTGCCAATCCTCCTCCTTTTTTTTTCCCCAAAGCCCCAGTAGATAGTTGTATGTCACAGTTGCACATGCTTCTAGTTGCTGTATGTGGGACGTGCGGCCTCAGCATGGCCGGAGAAGTGGTGCGTCGGTGCGTGCCTGGGATCCGAGCCCGGGCCGCCAGTAGCGGAGCACGTGCACTTAACCGCTAAGCCACGGGGCCGGCCCTGTGACAGTTTCTTAAACGTTCCTGTTTTTGATGTCCTTGACAGTTTTGAGGAGTACTCAGGTGTACTGTGGGATGCCCCTCTATTGGAATTTGTCTTTGGCACATTTGAAGACTTATAAGTGTTGGTTATTATTATTATCCCTTCACATTCAGATTAAAGTGTGGAACAGAGGCGGGATGTGGGGGGGATAGTTTTGCTGGATGTTCAGTATTTAAAAGAAAATTTTATTTTAAGCCTTGGTCAGTTTATCAGTGCTGAAAAACTGTCTGGACAAAATTTGGTTTGCCTACATCCACTCTTCTATCGTTCATTCGATTCAGTAAATATTCATCAAGTCTCTATTTGTGAGGATAGAAGTGTTGGATGCTGGGGATTCAATGATAAAACAAAACTGCCTGCATAGAGCTTCCAGTCAAACAGGGAAACCGTTGATAAGCAACTAAAGAAATCAACAGTCTAAAAGATAGCTTGTGACAAGCAAAGCAAAGCAAATAGTCCTTTTTTTTTTTTTTGCAGGGGAAGATTTGCCCTAAGCTAACTTCTGTTGTCAGTCTTCCTCCTTTTTTTCCTTCTTTCCCCCCACCCCCAAAGCCCCAGTATGTAGTTGTATATAATTCTAAGTTCTTCTGGTTCTTCTATGTGAGCCACCTCTGCAGCATGGCTACTGACAGATGAGCGGTGTGGTTCTGTGCCTGGGAACTGAACCCAGGCTGCTGAAGCAGAGCATGCCGAACTTTAACCACTAGGCCATCAAGGCTGGCTCAAGAAAATATTCTTATAATAAAGAATATCTCAGTAGGTGAGAAGAAGAGGGACTACTTTATTAGGATGGTGTATTAGTTAGGATAAGATTTAACTGTGAGGGACAGAACTTTAAAAAATAGGGGCTTAAATAAGATAGAAATTTCTCTCCATGTTCGGAAAGTCAGGAAGTCAGTCAAGGTCCTGGGCTCCTTCCATCTTCTTGCTCTGCTCTGCATGGGTTCATTTCCCAGGATCATCTCATGGTCTAAGACAGTTTCTGAGGCTCCAGCCATCTTCTGAATTCTAGCATGAAGATGAAAGGGACAGAGAAGGGAACACGCCTTTCCCATTTTTGCTTACTTCTTGCTGGCCAGAGCCTAACTATGGCCTTACCTAGCCATCCTACCTAGTGTTTATCCAGGAGGCCAGTAGACCAGTTAAACATCAGAAGTTTTGTTGCTGTAGAACACTGGTTCTCAAACTTCAGCATGCAGCAGAATCACCTGCAAGACTTGTTGAACTATGGGTGCTGGGCCCCACCTTGAGTTTCTCATTCAGTAGGAAGCCAAGAATTGCATTTCTAACAAGTTCCTATATGTTGTTGAAACTGCTGGTCCAGGACCACAGTTTGAGAACCACTGCCATAGAAGAGGAACATGGATATTGGGGAGACAGTCTCTGATTTGGACTTTGGTCATTTACGTTTTTGTACTAAAACAGATTATGCTTTCTGAGGTCAAGTATCTTTGATGTGTCAAATGTGGATAGCTCTACACAGTTTAGTCATTTTTATATAAGGTCACTGTTTTGGTTATTCACTGCTCTGTAACATATTATTCCAAAACACAGTAGTTTAAAGAAGTAATTTGCCTATGATTCTGTAGATCTGCAGTTTGATTAGGACTCTGGAGAAGGCTTGCCTCTCTATATGTTGGCTGGTCATGACTAGGGCTGGGGGATGCAGTATGGCCTTGCTAACATGTCTGGGGCTGGCTATCCGCTGGGCCACCTCACTGCTCCTCTGATAGCAAGGAGATACAGCCTGGACTTCCTGATATGGAGGCTCGGGCTCCAAGAGGGTGAAATGAAAGTTCTAAGCCTTCTTAAGGCCTAAGCCTAGAAATCACACCGAGTCCCTTCTGCCAAATTCATTTGATCAAAGCAAGTCACACAGCCAGCCCAGATTCAAGGGGAGAGGAAGTAGATTCCACCTGTTGATGGAAGGAGTGGCAGAGTCAGATTGGAAAAGGGTAAGCAGTTGAGAGGGATTATTGTAGCTCTCTCTGGCAACAGTCTACCGTAGTAAGGAAGGAGAACGCAGTATGAGGGTAGGAATCCGTACAATTGTCAATATGGACATAGACCTGTCATTCATTGTATTTTATCCCTACCAGGACCAGAGTATGATTTAGATAAAATACTTCCAAAATTTTCTGGTGCACTGGTAGAAAAGAAGTGTGGCTAGGTCAAACAGGACTTTAGAAAGGTTTGCTGGTTTTTAACAAAACTTTCCCATACCTTTGTTGGTATACAAGTTCAAACGTGAACAGGAGAACACAAGTTCAAACATGAGCAAGAACACAACACAAAAATATTTTTCTGCTGGCCTTCTTTAGACACACGGCTATTTTGAATGAAAGTTGTAATCTCAACTTTTGAAAGTCAGCCTTTAAAAATAGTGTTCTCACACTCATGCAATGTGAATTAATGCTCTAAAAGAAGTCAAGTTTATGGTGTATTTTTATACGTGGTACCACTTAGGATGTGGGTAAGAGACTCTCCCCTGAAATTTTACCAGGAATGGTTCGTTATTTGTTTCAAGCATTGCTCATTTTCACTGGATCCCTACATAGCAAGTGCCTCTGGGAAAGGAAGGATAGGAAGTCAGTAGCACTGTGTATGAATAATTTAGAGGAGCACTCTTCTCAGAGAACTCTGCGAGTCCTGGATGCCTGTGGAGGAAGCGGGTGCTGAAGGCAGGAGCTGAGGGAGTTTATGTCTTAGACGGATATCATTAGGGTGGAATTTGACCAGAAATGTTAATAACTGGAAGAAAACTTCATTACAGATTACACTATCTGAGACACATAAGGCAACAGAACACATTATAAAGACTTAGAGGTGGGGGTGGGAGGAGGAAGGACAGAAAGATCCGGGCGCTGAGTCCACGTTTCTTTACCTCACACGACTCCTGCTCAGGTGGCACGCTTTAGGCTTAGGTGGTGTTAAAACAACCAATTCCGTACCGGCTTTTATCTGGAAGAGAATGTTTTGTTCCTATAATATGATATTCATGAACTCTTTCTGCTTTTTTCCTAAACACTTCTCCACAAAGACTATTTCTTTACCCTTAAAATAGCTCCAGCTGCTTGCTCTGAGGTCCTTTCTTATAATAACTTTTAGCTTTTTGTGATTTTTCTTTAGAATGAAGTATCTCTTCCAGCCCTGCCCTTTCACCTATTTTCCACCGTCTCTGAGACAGCCTGGGTTCTGCTGGACTCTGAAGCTGCCGTCCGCTGTGGGAACAGTCCAGCGGGGCAGAGACCCTGCTGTTGGTTCACCAGGTGTTGGGTTGACTGCAAAGGGGAACTGCCCACCGCGTCTGGACAGCAAGCTTACTTCTCTGACTTTCTTAAGGGTCCTCAGTCTCTCCTTTGTGTGCCTTTACCCAATGAAAACTAAATCCAGCTCAGAGGCCCTGAAGAGTTGCATTCTAGGGAGCTGCTTTTGTTTGAGGAGCTAATGTAGTGAGGACTGTGGTTTTATTATTCCCACAGAAATCAAGAGCCTGTTCTGGGTTTCAGATGAAAAGCTCTGTGACTAACAGGATTCTTTCTTTTTTGGGGTTACATTTCTCCCATTAGCTGCCAGGGCATGTCTCGACAGTTCTCCCGCGGGAGTGATTTATCACCCAGCGAGTGAAGGAGAGGTGGGAACTGTCTGTGTTCCTCTTACCCACTGACACGGGGCGTCTACTCCTGCAGTCAGGACAGGCCAACAGCCTCTTACTTAGGTAGTGTGAGCCGAGGAAGGAGACTTGACTCACAACTACTGCAGTTCTGAAGAAGTCCCCGGAGACAGGACCTGGAGCCAGTGGGTGCAGTCTGCCTCCTGGTTCTCCCTCCTAATGCCAGAGGCTCTTGGAAGACAAGACTTAGTTTTGCAGCCAAACTAGAGAGGGAGGTCCTTCTGCGGTAGTCCTGGGGATCTACTCAATGTGGATTTTACAGTTAGCCAGAGCCTGCTGTAGCCTGGAGCTAGAGCTGACCAGGCATTTTGCCTCTTTTAAGCCTCTGCAAAGGCTTCCTCCTCGACCGCCCAGCTGGTTGGCAGGATCCTGGGGGATACCTACAGGCTGTGGAAGCCTCCTCGGTATTGGAGTGTCCCGTCTTGCCCTCCTTATTCACGTTTTCCTCCTCAGCCACTTTCATATAGACAAGCATATTTTTCATATTTTAGACAAACAATATTTTCATATTTTTTTGAAAATATGTGGCAGTCTGACAAATCCAATTAGTAGCCTAGTGTCATGACAGTAGCTGAAGAACCAGGTGATAAAAGCATCCCTAGTCTTGACAGCTTGCAGAGGTCCACCTGAAACACAGGTGAGCCATGGGCAACGAATGAATTGGAGGAAAGTGCTAATGTGCTAACAAGATGGACCAGCAAGATGTCAGCAAGAGGAGAACGATCTCTGGTGTCGTCTTGGAGAAATCTCTGCTGATGAGTCCTTCGCCTTCCTGCCTCTCTGCATGGGCTCCCTCTGATGCCCAGGACCGCCCCCGGCAGAGCTGGTCCTGACGGGTAGGGAGTACATGGTGTGCTCTAGAGTGTAACCAGGACAGAAGTGTGTGAAACAGAGGGAATTTACTGCAGGTAATTGTTCATACAGGAGATGGGAGAGCTGAGAAGCCCAAACAGTGGATGGTGAATAACCCAAAGCACAGCAACAGCAGGAAGCCACTGCTGCTTTCTGACCTGGAGGTCAACAGGAGGAGGTGCTTTTCTACCACAGTGGAGGAGGCACTAGGGCCATCTGGTAGAAAACCACTGTGGGACAGTGTGGTGGGAGCTGGAGCCACGGAGGAGGTGCCAGAGACACTGCCTTAGGCAGAGAGGGAGGGGGAGAAATACCCTGGGAACACGGCTCCCAAAGTCAGTCTCTTGCACCCGGAGGAGAGCAGCAGAGCATGAGGGCTGTCCTAGGCGGGGAGCCCCACGTGGGCATGCATGGAGGGGGCTCAGAAGCAAGTCTTGCTGCAAGTGGACCTGGTGTCTGCAGTGCCAACGATGACTCCTGGCTCCTGTGACATCAGGGGCAGCACCTCCTGTCATCACGTAGTCTGTAGAGTGTCGTGGTGAGAGTACTGTGTAGTTCTTGCTAGGAATGTGGATCACATGGATGTAGGCATTTATTCAAAACTTATTGAACGATAATATTTATACTGTAACAAAACGTAAAAGTACACACACAAGAAGAGCATTAGGTGGGGATGTGATGTACAGCATGGTGACTGTAGTTAATACTGTATTGCATGTTTGGAAGTTGCTAAGAGAGTAGATCTTAAAAGTTTCCTTCAGAAGAAAAAAAAATTTGTAACTATGGTGGTGATGGATGTTAACTAGACTTATCATGGTGATCATTTCACGATATATACGTATATCGAATCATTATGTTGTATACTTGAAACTAATACAATGTTCCATGTCAATTATACCTCAATAAATAAAAGAGTATTAGGCTCTGGAGTCACACTGTCTGTGTTTGCTACTAACTAGCTCTTAAGGCTGAGTTGTGTCCCCTCCCCCAAAATTCATAAGTTGAAGCCCTAACTCCCAGTGTGACGGTATTTGGGGAGGGCCTTTAAGAAGGTAATTAAGGTTAAATGAGGTCCTAAGGGTGGGGCCTAATCCAGAAGGACTGCTGTCCTTACAAGAAGAGGAAGAGAAACCAGAGATCTTTCTCTCTCTGAGTGTGCACAGAGGAAAGGCCATATGAGGACACAGCAAGAAGACAGCCATCTGCAAGCCAGGAAGAGAGGCTTCACCAGAAACCAACCCTTCTGGCACCTTGATCTTGGACTTCGAGCTTCCAGAACTCTGAGAAAATAAATTTCTGTTGCTTAAATCACCCAGTCGGTGGCATTCTGTTACGGCAGCCTAAGCTGACTGATATACTAGTCGTGTGACTTTGAGCAAATCACATATCTTCTATCTATCTTAGTGTCTTCATCTGAAAAATGGAGATGATCAAGTTCCCTCCTCACAAGTTTTTTGGGAGAAGTAAGTGGAAAATGAGTTTAAAGCACTTGGCATGTAGTAAGTAAGCACATGTAGCTCTTACTATTTGTACCCTTGAATTTCTGTCTCAATATCCCTGCCTGGAATTCCGGGTCTCCTCTATCATTGGATGCTGCCTCCCACCCCTCAGCCTCCCACAAGATCTTGCTGGTCCTCGGTCTTTATTCTGCTCTTGCCATCCTCTGGCTACCTCATGGGGTCCTCCTGGTATCACTCAGAACTGTCACCTGCTTTTCTGTTAGCTGTTTGTGCTCTGCTTGCCAGCACCATCTCCACTTGGAGAATGTCATCTCCCCACCATTGTGTGCTTTGATCAACCTACCTCGTAGCTCATGGCTGAGCCAGCTGTATCCGTTTCCTATGACCCCACCCTCTCTGGTCCTGGCTCCACCCATCAGCTGTGTGCTTAGCTTGGCCCCAAATCCTTTACACTCACTCATGGCACTCTGCCAGCTCCAGGTCTTTCTGTCTAGAGTGTCTTGGGCTGGAAAGGAGTGAGTGGAGAAGCTTGTTTTGAAGCTGCATTTATATGGCAAGTGCTCTTTTTTTGGTTTGTTTTTTTTTAAACTTAGGTTGTGGGTTTATTTGGGTTGCATTTTGGGAGAAATACTGGAAATTATTTGTGTATGTGGGGTAGGGGCCATGGTCACAGGCCGATTGGATACAACTTCCCAGCATCAGTCCCTCACTCGGCACAGTGTTACTGGTTTTATGAGGGCATTGGGATTTGAGGTTGTCTGTCTGAGTTTTGTTTGGTGGTTTTCAAGAGTGGTACTCAGGTTTGTAATGACTCCTTGTGTGTATTAATGACTCCTTGTGTGTATTAGTTTTCAATTGCTGTGTGCCTCAAACTTAACAGCATGAAACAATGCACACATCTCAGAGTTTCTGCAGTTTTTAGTTTTTGTAAATAATAAAAATGATATAAGCCAGTTATAACAAGTTTAAACAAGAAGTCTATAAAGGAAAAGTGGTACATATGTCCTCCCTACTCCCCTCTATTCCACTTCTGGAGAAATAACTACTGGTAGCTGTTTAGAACATCCATACATCCATTCATGTTTTTTCCATGCTTAGATGGACATACACTCACGCATGTACACCCACTTGTTTTGTAAAACAAGAATGAGCTCACACTTAAATTAGGCAGGACTTTTTTGGCAAGTGATAGAAACTCTTCATCAACTATTTTATGCAAAAAGAGGAATTCACTGGCAGAAGAATTTAAACCACAGGACTCACTCTCTGTCTCTTGTCTCTGCTGCTCTCAGACCAGCATTCTTCGCAGCTAGGGCTCTGGTCACCAGAAGCTGCTGGCTCCCACCCCTAGGTTTCCCCACACCAAGGGCTTATCCCTCTGCCTTCAGCTCTAAATGAAATATTCCCAAGAAGGACTTGGACTGGCCTCGTGTATTATTTAAAGTATTTTTGGCTGTAAATAACAGAAAACCCACTTGCAAGTGACTTACTAGGGGGCTATTCCTTTCATGGAACAAGATGTCTAGGGGCAGGTAGTGGTTCTGTAGCCCGATGATGCCACGGATCTGGGTCAGTTTCTTTGCAGTTCTCTTGGTTTTCCGCTCGTGGTTGCAAGATGGCTGCAGCAGCTCCATACACCATTTTCTCACTTGACAATGTCCTTCTTTGCCTGGCTTCTCTCAGAAGCAAAGCCTGAGACAAAGGCTTGTGCTGTGACTTGGGGAGGTGATTGCAGGAGCAGAAGTAGAGACTGGGGAGAGAAGCAGGGGGAGACAGTGGTTATATAAGTCTGCATGACTAGTGGGACAGTGCTGTGGGGACGGTGCTAGATCCTGCCGGCACCTCCTTATTAGGAAATAAGGTCCCTTAGGGGACCAAAGAGGGGAGCATTTTTCTATCAGTGTGCTCCCCCCACAACTAAACAACATGACAATGAGCATATTTTCCAGTTGGTGTACGTATATGTGCTCTACACAGTTCATGGCTGTGGAGAATTCCATTATATAGATGAGCCACAATTAGCCAATTCTCCTATTAATGGACACACAGGTTGCAGCCCTGGTTTTATATTCAAGTTGCCATATGCATTGAAGAGGATATGGCTATTTGTTTTTCTGATCCTAAGAGTGAGGAATATTTATCCCATTTCAAGACTTTGGCCCAATGAAAAATAAAGCAATAATCCATCTTGCCAAAACACAACTAACCTATTCAGAACAAAAATAGAAAAGAGATAAAAATAGCTTCTAAGTAGACAAATAGGAGTCAGACAGTCACAAATTCCAGATGGAATGGGCTGACTGGTGTGCAGGGTCACTCTGGTTTGTCTTAAAATCTTACACACCTCCCTGTAAGAGGGGCTCTGTTAGGAGCCTCTTTAACCTCATTTTACTTACAATTCTAACTAGCTTGGTATCCTAGTTACTATTTCTACAGCAAATGAGAAGGGCAAGGAAACTGCTGAAAGAAGCCACACAGCAAACTCAAAATCAAAAAGTGACCCCTGACAGCAACAGAGGAGGCAAAAAACCAAAGCGACAACAACAGTAACAAAATACCTTTTAAAAAATGTCATGGGGGGCTGGCCGGTGGCATAGTGGTTAAGTTCGAGCACTCCACTTCAGCAGCCTGGGATGGCAGGTTTGGGTCCCGGGTGTGGACCTACGCACCGCTTATCAAGGCGTGCTATGGCGGCATCCCACATGAAATAGAGGAAGATGGGCACCGATGTTAGCCCATGGCCAATCTTCCTCAGCAAAAAGAGGAGCATTGGCAACAGATGTTAGATCAGGGCCAATCTTCCTCAGCAAAAAGAGGAGGATAGGCAACAGATGTTAGCTCAGGGCCAATCTTCCTCAGCAAAAAGAGGATTGGCAACTGATGTTAGCTCAGGGCTAATCTTCCTCACATACACACACAAAATGTCATAAACATGCAAAAGAATGTTGGTGTTCTATCTGCTCTACAAAACAATAAAAGAACTGAGGTTCACAGCCAGGAAGAATTGTTTACGTTGCATTCCAAGTACTCTTTACAAGGCAAGGAGATGGATAATTTATTTCATGCTGTTATATCCTTTCATGCAGGATTCACTCCGTATGATTATTCTTTTTGTGTAACACATTTTAGAGAGATTTCCCAATAAGTAGGTTTAAAGTTGATTCTAAAAGCTCTGGGGAACTTCAGTCATGGTTCTAAACAACCATTTTCTGTGGAGTTTTAGCCAAGAAATGTCCTCTAGCAAACTGGTTGGGTCGCCATAGGGAATGGGTTCTCTACGTCTCTGCACCAGGAGGCGATGTCCACCAGCCTTCTCCTCTGATCCAGGTTAGCAGTGCTCCAGCTGTGAGCTCACTTGGACAGTCACTAGCCATCCTGGCACAGTGACAGCCTAGGGGGGGTAGGCAAATGTTGAGACTTTTATCCATCCTTCTAGAACTTTTCCCGAAATATTGGAGGTGAGCTAGAATGAAAGGGGCAAAAAAATAACCCTTTTTCAGGAAGAAAGGAATTTGGTAACTTTTTCTACAAAAATTCTATAAATAACAAACGTCATGCATTTCTTGTTTACTTTGTCTAATTAGTAAACAATTATATCCCAGCTGTGGCATCAGCTAACGAGGATATTACTGTGTGTGTGCGTGCCCACGCATACACGCTTGAAATTAGCTAATAGCATTGAATAGAGAATGTTTTTTGCTTTGTTCCAGAATCTTGTAATCTAATGCACCTGTCCTTTAATGTTAGCACTCCATTTTGTCCATTCATTGTCATTTCTTCCTTTTTTTTTTTTGGTGTTACATGTTGTGGTAGACAAAATAATGGTCCCCAGAAGATGTACATGTCCTAATCCCCAG